GATACAAGCAGTAAGTTGTTTTGTTTTATTGCGCTCATGTCAGATTTTTTCCTTGTAGAACATTTCCATGTGTTCGTGGGTGATTTGTCTCCAGAAGTCGACAACAAAGCTCTTCGGGAAGCATTCGCTCCATTTGGAGAAATCAGGTATTATAATAAGTTCACGTCTTTCTTTTCATTTCGAATCCTAGTGATGCTAAAGTCATTAGAGATGTTGGAACTTTAAAATCTAAGGGTTATGGCTTTGTGTCATACCCTAAGAGAGAGGTCTGTATGGTGTAAATGAATTTTCTTTAGAGTTTTCTTTACAGGAAGCTGAAAGAGCGATTGAGCAGATGAATGGACAATGGCTAGGAAGAAGAACTATTCGCACTAATTGGGCCACTAGAAAGCCTGGTCAAGGAGGACCGGAGCAAGCAGCTCATGATAAGTCTTACGACGAAATTTACAATGCCACAACCCCCGACAACACCTCTGTATATGTTGGTAAGTCACTGATTGTATGACGATATCGCAACTGTTTCATTTGTGGTAGGCGTTCGCGACTTACCTGAGGAGGACATCCGTAAAGGATTTGAAAAATATGGAAGAATTACTGAAGTCAGAATTTTCAAAGTTCAAGGATATGCTTTCGTAAAATTCGATACTAAAGACTCTGCAACTAGAGCGATTTTGAACATGAACGGCCAAGATTTGGGCGGTCATACAGTCAGATGTAGTTGGGGAAAAGTTAGTAACACCGTGAGTTTCAAATATGTTTAAAATTGTTTAAGTGATTGTTTTAGACTTCTGCTGCCGCTGGAGCAAACTCTTACGGATATGGAGCATATGGATACGGCAACGGAACATCAAGCTACACCGGCGCACATCAGGTTTGACCATTTCTCGCAAAGTAGCAATCAATCGCTTATAGGCTGGAAGCACTAATGCTGCTGCAGCTGCCGCAGCTCAACAACAATATTGGCAATACTATGCGACATATTATAACAATCCTCAAATGATGCAACAATGGGCTAAGTGAGTGTTT